TATGTTTTTAAAACCCTTGTCACCTCCTAGAAGAGAACTACTGCACCACCTATGACCCACAGGATGAACTACCCCCGTATCGCTGGACTAGTTCACGAGAGTAATTCTTACCTGTAACAGACAACGATCTTGAAAAGTATATCCTATCAACTTGTCCAGGTGCATTAGGCATTGGTGGTAGCGTATATGATGGGTCAAAACAGGCAGCATCATTGCATGCTAGGACAAAATACTTCAGTTAAGTTTAATTCCCTAAAAACAAGCACCATCTATTTCACAATAAACAAGAATCATTTTCACACCATAAGTCGCATCTTACAAAGTCATAACAGTTTATAGATGTGTGGCACCCTGAAAAGTAGCCCACACGTGGCAGTGTGCAGTGCTTCTTAGGACGCAGTCTCTGGAACCACCACGCCTCGCTCCACATTGCACTCTGCCACGCCTCCACGGAATCACTTAGGGGAAGCTCTCACCTCTCTACCTAGGTTTCCCTACCACTAAAAATGGAAAATCAATGCAGCTAAGGCCAAGAACATTAAAAGGATTGTAAGTATGAACACCAAAGATTCAACACAATGCCATCTGCACTTCATTCATACAGGAGTAACCCTAGCGCCACCAGATTTGAACACAGCAGTATCAGGGAAGCCTTGTGCAGTACGGTGCCTCCTGATCTCTACAGAGTGGTGATGGCGAACCCTTTAGAGCTTCTAATGATGCCAGCCTGCTGCGGCCATAGCCATGTGCTCATCATCACTGCCAGAGGGCCATGGGATGAGGCTCACATATTCTTTTGTAGGATCAAGATATTTTTGAGAATCAAAGGAAAATGACTCCAGAAAAACACCCATATCTACATAAACATGCAAAACTTGTATGCAATTATCATGTGTTCACTGTGTTCACTTTCTCCTAAACCCCAGTGCTATCCATCCAAGCAAGAACTTCTCCAATGGATGGCATCCAAAAACCAGTCTAGAGTGAACATTCGATGCTCTAACATTCCAGAGTTAAGGCATTAATCCAGTTAAGGTATCTGAGGACAGGGAAATTATATTTCTATATTTTTTCTTCAATCACTTCATTTCGTTGTCTATTCCTTATTGGGAAATGATTTCATGAAAGGCTTATCTCTCTTTTCGCTAATAATGTTTACCTAGAACTCAAGAGAATGAAGGAATCATTTTTATTCATTAGAGCTGAAAGGATGGGCCTGGCCCACAGAATGATTGACATGTGCTTTGTATCATTTCATTCTTTGAAGTATTTTAAGCTAGCATTGTTTAAAAATAAATGAAAATGGATTTGCTTGAAACTATAGAAATCAGTTCTCTGTATTTTTTTTTTTATTTTTATTTTTTTTGGTGGAACCAGGGATTGAACTCAGGCCCTTGAGCTTGCCAGGGAAGCGCTCATTCCACTGAGCCATCTCCCCGACCCAGTTCTCTGTATTATTAAAGAAATATTGGTTCTATCAAACAGGATCTCTAGTCAACAGCAAGCCTTTTGTGCCAGTTCAGTTCAATAAATACACACTGAGCACCTCCACGTACAAGACAAGGTCTGTGGAAGATGAAAATGAAGACCACACTGCTTTTGCCATTAAAGCTTCTTAGAGCTATGCCAAAAAAAAAAAAAAAAAGAAATTAATGGCAAAAAACCATCACAGAAACCATGCAAACACACAGAAATTAAGCAATACCTTCTTAACAATGTGTTACAGGAGAAATAAGATAGTTTCTAGAATTAAAAGATAATGCCAGTAAAACACACCAGAACTCACAAGACACAAAGAAAGCAGCCCTAAGGGAAAGTTCACCAAAAACAAGAGCACTCCATATAGAGAGCCACATAATATACAGTTATTAAAAGGATGAGGATATATAGAAAGTCAGAACATCAAATAAAGTTAATGAGATACTGAAACTCCCTTAAGGATTGGAAAAACTATCATTTTCAGGTTAACTGAGGTACTAATTTTCACTATCTGAAAAAGAATACTAACATATCAATATAAGTAATATTTACTTAGTACCCACGTTGAGAGTTCAACAAGAGGAAACATAGAAGAGCTTCTCCTCCAGAAATTCATAGAAACAAAATCTCGTGACACAGTAATGTATTATGTGCTATACGAAATGAAAGTACCTGAAAGAAATACAGAATTTTCACATATGACTGTGAAAATAACAATAAAAATAGTTTAATAATGAATGTATTCAAAGACTTTTAAGTACTTCATAAATTTAGCACTTACCTTCATATTTAAAATGGTAACATTTCCCAAGCAACAATACAGGGGAATTTCTACTAAAATATGTCTTTGTTTTCAACACCCAACCTAAACGAACAACAAAGAAAAGGAGGTTTGCTATTAAAGGATTAAGAGGCCAACAGCATTTGTTAAAATTTAATTTTAAGCTATTATCATTCATCGGTATGCATTTTTAAGAGCTGCAAAATTATCTGTACAATGACCTAAAAATACACATTCCTTATGCTACTTTCAAAAAGTCTTTAAATCACTTAAAAAACATGAGAATGAAAATACAATTTTAATTAACTTTTTTTTCTTTTTCTGTATTTAGGAGAGTCTACAGGTTCTCACTACATAGACTGGACTTGTAATGATCCTCCCGTTTTCAGCCTCCCAAGTGCTGGGGTTACAGGCACGCGCCACCACGCCCAATCTCAATCACCTCTCAGCACCGCCCAGGGACAGGACTGGCACGGCACGCCGGGGATCGAACTTCAGCCCCTGCGCTCTGCCTAAGCAGGCACTTTAGTCCACTGAGCTATCAGGTCGGCCCTCATTCTAATTAACTTTGACAAGTCAGTGTTCCTATGGTACAAAAATGAAAATGTACAAATTTTGCTTTACTGTCCCTAAATAGTTTAAAAATCAAAAATAAGGTTTTAAATATGGCAATTAGACAAAGAGCAAAGAAACAGTGAGCATGAAGAGCAGAAAGGCCTAGAAGGATGATTTGCTTTTTACGTTTTTTAAAGAGGAAGCCAACTTTATATTCATCATATGGTCATGCAAAAGAAGGGAGAAAAAAGCAAAACAAAAGGACACTCTCAAGAAAGCCGGCCAGTGCCGCTCTGTCCTAAGTGCTATCGCACTTACAGTGCCACTGTCTTCGTCACCTTATCACACTGACTTGGATGAAAACAGTCCTAAGCTATGGACACTGCACTCAGGACGGCCTAACTGGAGAAAGAAGATTAGGTCGGAAGCACAGTTCCCAGACTTAAATAGACAGATGACTTTGAATGTGCCATTCAACTGGCTTTCTGTTTTCTTAGACACAAAAACCATCTGCCACAGCTTGGATCTTCGGCATCCCCACGGGGCCACGTGCTAAGGGACTGTTCCCCAGAGGAAGGTGCAGCTGAGAAGCGACCCTTCAGGAGCTCAGGCCTCTCGGAAGGCAGGTAGGCCACTGGGGCCTCTAGGGGGCACTGGGGCCTTAGCCTCCTCCCCTCCTCCCTCACGGCCTGGCCACCTTGAGGAGAGCAGCCCGCACATGCTCCCCATTCCGTGATGGTCTGCCTCAGCTCAGAGCCAAAGCAGTGGAGCAGCTGGCCACGGACTGGAACCTCTGAAACAGTGAGCCAAAACACATCTTTACCTCCTTTTAAATCAATTCTCAGATATACCTAGCAATAGAAACCTCAGACAGACCAGACCCACCTCAGAGAGATGGGAAACTGAACTATCAGGGGACATGAGTGGCTGCACAGTCCAGCCCACAGTGAACACTCGGTCAGCACCAACCCCTCCTATATCACTCACTTCACAAAAACAACAAGGAAGTAAGATACAAAAGAGATTTAAGAGTGAGTTCTAGGGGCTGGTGAGATGGCTCAGTGGTCTAAAGCACCTACTTAGAACAAGCTTAACAAAGCACAGGGACCGCGGTTCAATCCTCCAGCACCACATGCCAGCCAGCCTGCCCCTTGGTGGGCTGAGCTGGCCACACACAAATAAAAATAAATAAATAAATAAAATAAAATACATGTTTAAAAAAAAAATAAAATAAAAAATAATAATAAAGCACCTACTTAGAACAAGCTTAGCAAA